CAACATCGCATGTCAATTTAATGTCCTTTGGGAGATTGTATCTCTAACGAAAATGTAAATATATATGTTGGTTGTACGAATACGACTTTTTCAAGGAGACTTACATTTCATATGAATGATTAAAATTCAGTTTCTCAACATTTAAAGGAACATTCTTGTCCACATTCACGATTTAGAGTAATATTAATCTACAATACAACTATACTCCACCACGAAAATAAAAACAAAAACTTCAAATTCTGGAAGCCATTCACATTAAAAATTACGGCCAAAAATAAATGAAATCAATTATAGGTATAGCAAGAAAGTTTTAAATCATTAATAACAGCAAGGTTTTAAAATTTCAAAATTGTAATTGTTTAAAAACCGTAATTAAAAACAATATTTGGTGGGGATTAATCACGTGATTACAACTTTTAATAATAATTTAGATAAATTAATTTACCTTCTTTACATAGCGGCAAACTTTTCGAATTTTACAGCGTTCATGCTTACATACTCATAACTTATATTAATTCTTGCTTATGAAAATAAAGACCATATGGCTAATTATGTTTTTTTTTCTCTTGGTCAATTTTTGCAGACACTAAAGAATTGATTCGTGAACTTGAGAGGACTAAAATAAAAATAGACATAATATGTCTAGATTATTCAACTAAACACACACACGCACACACATGCACACACACACACACACACACATATATATATATATATATATATATATATATATATATATATATATATATATATATAAAAAAAATACATACATGCAGCAAACTATTTCTTATTTAACAGGTAAAATATTTCAGCCTTGAAAATGGCTAAATGTATAGACGAAAGCGCTCGGAAAAAAGAACATTCGGACAGTTTTTATATAATTTATCATCTGAAAAGAAAAAATATTAGATCACATGAGACATTTTATAAGAATCTAAATCAAAGCACCTTCTCTGTCGTATTCAATGAAATGTGCATGAAAGAAGTATTGCTGCCTAAATATAAATATATATATATATATATATATATATATATATATATATATATAGTACAGTCGAGCAAAACACAACTCATATAGTCTGGCGGTTGCGTTTAGCATAAAAACAAAGTAAAGAATCAATTTCTTAATCCCACCAACGGAGGGATTGAAACTGCATTTAAGTCGCATAATTTTATGCGAGTCCAAGCACATGAATAACGCAATGGTGTCATCAACTACATAGTTTTCATGGTCTGGGTGCTATAACTGACCGATAATTACGAAATTGGTTTACTGAAGTATCCAGATGAACTCAGACCTGGGTATTAGTCGGTCTTTGATGCTGAAGCACTAATGCCATTAGTAGAAAGCAGCCCGCAACAAAGTAATCAGTATAATTAGCAAAGATGTTAAACACATCACAATCTTCCATGTTCTGACACTTAGAAAATAATAGAAAAATCAGCAAAGACGGGTTTTTTGAGTTCATATGATCAAAAAGAACGAAACAGTTCGTTTCCCTATAGCAAAACGTCTCTTTTCACAACAGATAAGTAACTGTTTAGATGGCTACAAAACGCTTTGAGAGTGGGAAACTTTCTCGAATAAAAAACAGATTCAAGAATTCGTCTGTTGATATTTTACTCAAAAGATGTCGAAAATCTACCTGAAAAGTGGTAACAAGTCATTTCAAATAATGATGAATATATAATTTAATCAAATGTAAATGTACTTTATTTCTTTTAAGAATAATGTTGATAAACATAAACGAAAATTATTTACGATCAGCGTGATATATACAGGATGTCCCCATAAAGATGGGTCGCATTTTAAATGCAAGTATCTTGGATTATAAAAATGACAGAGAGTACCAAATATATTTATTACATAAGTTCAACATATCTAAGATTTCTCTATATTTTACAGATATCTAACATCTCTTTTGCTGTAAGTGAACACTTATGATGTCTGTGTTTAAAAATGAGACTGGGCTCATGCATGTTCTCTTCGGGATGGTGTCCATTTCAGAGATGCAATATTCAAATCTTAGATAATATGTTGAAATCTCTTTATATCGGTTAATGTAATAAATATATTTAGTACTCTATGTCATTTTTTATAATCCAAGATACTTGCTTTTAAATGTCATCATTACGGGACTATATATATATATATATATATATATATATATATATATATATATATATATATATATATAACATTCAGGCTGGTAAATATAATTAATACTGTTTAATTAAATTTACTTAAATAAATATCTATAAAAATAACGTATAAGCATAAAATATATCAAATAATTATCGGACTTAATCCATTTCACTATTTACATTATTCGGACTATTTTCCTCATCTTTGTCGCCATATTTATTACAACGTTTCGGCCGTTGTACGCTCTGGCCTTCTTCAGGTGGCACACAAAAAAAATAAATACAAAATTATTGCAACATATCGCTACATTTCACCAACATATACGAGGGTGACATCTATAGACATTTCTCACACACTTAGTTATACATTTACATCAATTAACGTTACCGTCCAACAAACAACTAGACACGCAAGGGTTTATTTACTTACACGCTCTTAGACTATCACACAATTTAACCTCCCAAATATTTTCATACATAATTATATATTATCTATTGCGTTAATACACGTGATACGTGTCTGACCAATAAGAAGTAACGAAAAATCTTAACAATCCAGAAAACCGTCTCTTTGCTTTTTCATTCTGTTCGCGATATATATATATATATATATATATATATATATATATATATATATGGAAAAATTATATTTCTGACACGTTTCATCCGTTAAGACTTCATCGGACTAGCTTTGTTCGCGTTGCTGCGACACCTGCGCATGAACGAAAGATACTGGTAGTTTCACAATTTTTGAAAGAATTTTTTAAATATTTTTTTTTCAATCTAGCCAATTAATGTATGTTCATTTTCTTTTACTTTCTATCATTTTTGTTTTAAATATCCCACATTATGATAAAGAAAATATGCCAAGAATGGCGAAAAGTTACTGAGACTAAACTATATATATATATATATATATATATATATATATATATATATATATATTAATTAATTCAAATAACCAGGTCAGAGGATCCGACTGAAAATAATTAGACAAAACTTGTCTAAATTATTTAATGAGACATGCCTCAATGAATATATGCTGCCAAAATATACGATATATACATATATATATATATATATATATATATATATATATATATATGAATAAAACAAAAGGAAAACTTATCTTTGACGCCGCTTTTCGGCCTCTGATGGACTTTATCAGGGCAAAGATAAGGATTTTATTTTGCAACAAATATTTATAAATAAAAGTAAAAATTTAAAGTTTAAAATAGTGACGTAATTTAATGTCAAATAAACAAAAGAAAGTAAATGATGTTGTTGATATTTTTTTTTATGAGGCTCATTCTTTAGTTCCAGCGGTTCAGGTCTTTACAGCAAAAAACTGGAACCGACTCCCGCGTGGATGCTTCCCAAATCACCACAATCCTAATTTCTTCAAGTCATGGGTCAATCGTCATCTTATCTTCTTATTGTCATAATTTCCATTTCTTACCCCCTTCTCTTTCATTCCTATCACATAACATCATTCAGTATCACTATTCCTTTGTATGTAACGATCTACCTTTAGCGACTTTCGCGCCTTAAGAGTATTCCAATAACTTGGACCGATTTTAATTGTGAATTAAGTTTAAGCTAATGATTTGTTTTTTTTTCAGATTTAACAATTTAAGTCTTAACAAGATTAATTTCAAGAGTGCAATTGGAAAGATTGTTCGTAAATTCATACAAACTAGGTCGCTGGCAGATGTGAAAACACCACTGCGTGCTCGTTTATGTCGTTCAGCTGATAACATTGCTGCAGTGCACGAGAATATGGCCGAAAATCCAGACCCCTCTATTCATCAGCGCGCGCTGGAATTGAACCTCTCTGCAACAACGTTACATCGTTTCCAATTGCACTCTCGGTTGGTCGATTAGGTTGACCAAAAAAAAAATCGCAAAGTACGCGAAATGCATTTCTGTTTGAACGACTATTTTCGTAATAAGCTTCGATAACTTTAACACGTCGGTTGATTTTTATTCTTTCCATGGTTGAAATTGCCAAAGACTTACGTTGTTAAATCTGAAGAAAAAAGAAAAAGATCCTTAGACGCTTAATCTTATTTCACATTTAAAATCGGTCCAAGCTATTGGAACACCCTTTATTATATGAACCGCATCATATGATCTTTTTCAAAAATATCCACGAAGTAATCTCGTTTGGAAAAAAGAAAAAGGCTTTAAAATGTTTGAAAAGAAAGTGTTTTCAAAGACGATGGTAAGCAGCAGTCAATAATCAAATACACGAAGAAAAGTGCAAAGAAATTGACGGTTATAATTTAAAACTTGAAAGACATTAACAATGGCACTAGAATAAAGCAGAGAAAGAAATGATAAATTAATTGGATTTGACAAGACAACAACAAAAAATAGTTATAATCATCCGCTTGTCTAAAGAAGCCATCTTTTATGTTACGGACCCAAATATTCTCCCCAAGATTTTTTTTGTAGTGGTTGATTTTCTTACGCATTTTTCTTGTTTTTTCTTTGTGCGAAATTAAGTTAAATCCTTCCCTAAAGGACTTCTGTTTTAGGAATTACTTTACAATGAAAATATCTTCAAATTCTTATGCATTCAATATTGCAAGTCGACAAAACACACGCGACAACAGAAAGAATTAATTTCATATATAAAAATAACATCGAAATGAAGACAAAGTTTTCCATGGATATTATCAAGCGAAATCTAAAAGAAAAAAATCATTGTACCCTTAAATAGACAAAATCTAGACTGTTGCTATCTTGGGACTATAATTTGATCCTGTAGCCATTGAGAGCAAAGGGAAATAATTGTGTGATGATTGACTAAATATAACAATGAAACTGTTTGAGAAAGAAAGAAAAAAGACTTAAATAAACGAATCTAGAAAAGGAAACGAAGAAAAGAAAGAAGAATGTATAAAAAGGGAGAAAAAAATAAAGGTGGTAAAAAAAAAGTGAAATCCAAAACATGTAGGAAAAGGAAGGAAGGAAGGAAGGAAGGAAGGAAGGAAGGAAGGAAATATGCAAGGTGAAAGAAAAGAAAAAGCAAAATAATGAATTTGGATGAAGAAATGAATCAATAAAAATGAAGAAGGAGAAAAATTAAAAAGAAAGAAAGAAAGAAAGAAAGATTTAAATAAACAAAGCTAGGAAAGGAAACGAAGAAAAGAAAAAAGGGTGTATAAAGAGTGGCGAAAGACATAGAAGTGGTCAAAGAAAAAAGTGAAATCCAAAACGTATGAGAAAAAGAAGGAAGGGATATATGAAGGAAGGATGGAGGGAAGGATGAAAACAAGAGAGGAAGAACGAATAACGTAAACATTCAAGTTGAAAAAAAAAAGCAAAATATGGTATCTGGAACCAAGAAATGGAGAAAGATAAAAATGCACAAAGAAAGAACGAAAGAAAAAAAAGAAAAACGAAAGAAAAAAAAGAAAAACGAACGAAAAAAAGAAACTAATAAACAAAGAAAATGAAAAAAACGAATCTAAAAACTTAAAGGAAAAATGGTGGAGTATAAGAAAAAAAAAGAAAGAACAAATGACGAAAAAGAGAAATCTATAAAGGAAAGAAGAGGCAAACAAACGAACGAGCAAACAAAGAAAAGAAAAGAAATAAAGAATCGAACGAAGGAACGAATATATGAAAGGAAAAAAAAGGAAAAAGAAAGTAACGAGATGAAGGAATAAATCTATAAAAAATTTTCAGAAATATAAAAGATGTGGAAGGAAAGACCGATTGAAATAAACAGAACTTTTCTGGTAAAAAGGCATTAAAAAAACAAATAAAAAGTTTATCAATGAGGAGAGATTGAAAGAATGAAGTTTATCAAAGGAAAGACTAAAAGAAAGTGAATTCAGAACAATGGAATGCTAATAAAATTATAGAAAGATCGATAAACAAATAATAAGTAAGATTCGATTGTGAAAGCCATTTCATCGAGCAACCGAATGGGCAGATCCACAGAGATTCGAGAAATGAAAGAGAAAGTGGAAAAGAATTGCGATATTAAATAGAGAATACATTTTTGACCATAATGCGTGTGAACAAATAGATAAATAGTCACAATTATTTGCTGCTTCGGCTTTAAGGTTTATAAAGACGGGCAATCAATGATTCATGGCCCAACGAAAAGAGTATGGAAAGGCGAAAAGAAAGACAGAAAGAAAGAAAGAAAGAAACAAACAAACAAAAAATAATCAGTATATTCGAGCGAAAGGAAGAAATCAATATATTCGTGTGAAAGAAAGAAAGAAAGAAAGAAAGAAAGAAAGAAAGAAAGAAAGAAAGAAAGAAAGAATCAGTATAAAGAAGTATCTTCATGTGAAAGAAAGAAAGAAAGAAAGAAAGAAAGAAAGAAAGAAAGAATCAGTATAAAGAACTATCTTCACGTGAAAGAAAGAAAGAATCAGTATATTTGAGCGAAAGAAAAATCAATATATTCGTGTGAAAGAAAGAAAGCAAGAAGTATCTTCATGTGAAAGAAAGAAAGAAAGAAAGAAAGAAAGAAAGAAAGAAAGAATCAGTATATTTGAGCGAAAGAAAAAATTAATATATTCGTGTGAGTGAAAGAAAGAAAGAAAGAAAGAAAGAAAGAAGTATCTTCATGTGAAAGAAAGAAAGAAAGAAAGAATCTGTATATTGGAACGAAAGAAAAAATCAATATATTCGTGTGAAAGAAAGAAAGAAAGAAAGAATCAGTATAAAGAAGTGTCTTCATGTGAAAGAAAGAAAGAAAGAAACAAACAAACAAACAAACAAGCAAAGAAACAAAGAAAGAAACAAAGGAAAGAAAGAATCAGTATATTGGAATGAAAGAAAAAATCAATATATGCGTGTGAAAGAAAGAAAGAAAGAAAGAAAAAGAAAGAAAGATTAAATCAGTAATAGAAAAATAAAGAGCAATGACAAAAAAGAGGATAAATCAAATAATAAATGAAAGAAGAAAAGAGATATTTGACATGGTCTTACATTCACTTCCAATTTCTCATTGTTTCAGTGCTTGTAAAATCTATCGACGAATCGATAAAACAGGCCTAAAAATTAAAGATTCTGTCTTGGTTGACAAGCAATCATTCCTTTTTATCAACACTAGGTCAATAATCGATCATTAATGTATATGATGCAAATTAAAGTCTTGAAAATGCGATATTAATCCAAAACTGATGATTGTATCTCAAAACGAGGCAAAGGTTATATTTTAGAATCTATTTTTGGAGACAAAACAAATTTGAATTCCTTTTAGCTCTTTGAATGCCAGAAACGTCTTTCCACATCTAAGTCGATCTTTTGTCACTTCATAGGTTTTCATAAAGTAATGAAGAAAACTCAACATAAAGTAGAAAATAAAGAATGAAAATTAAAGTGATATTCGTAATGAAGTAGGTGCTTTAAAAAAGGACATATTTTTACTTTTTTACGTTTTATATACAAACTAGCAGCATGGCCCCGCGTTGCCCGTGCTTGATTCAAAAATCGTACGACTCATACAGCAATCGCTATCACTTGACTTAAAATATTTTTGCCTTTCCTTGCCTTTAAAGGAGTGCCCTTTGCCGTGCAGATGTTGCTACACGCCTTACTTCTTGCCTATCTCACACTGTGAATTTTTTCTAAGCTCTATACTAAACATTAAATCTGTTACGAAAAAAGAACTAAACAAAATGAACACAAAACGATCAGCTTTAAAAAAGGACTCGTAACTGGAAAAAACGAATGAAAAAATGTTAGCAACAAATACTTTTCACAACGTTGAGTTTAAGCAAGCGAATGAGCCAATTTGAGTAAAGTGCCATGCAGATTTAAATTTTTCCCACTTGTGATGAATGCAGCTATCGATTTTTTTTTTTTTTTGCATGCGAGCATTGCTAGTTAACATTCGTGTCAGTCAGCTGTTGGCTCTCACGCTGGCCAATAGAATCTTCCTGCCTATTCGTGGCAGCCAGCTATTGGCTCTCACTCTGGCCAGTACAAAATGGCCACAAACTACATGAAAACTGCCGTAGAAGCATGAAAAAATCAATTATTTCCACTATCGATGGGAGTTGGAAAATGCAAAGTCGGTCTTGGCCTTCCCGCTAACTTGGGGCATGTGCATGTAAATTTTGGTGCAAATCCGTCGAAAATTGCGGCCGTGCATTCCTTACACACACACGCACACACTGAATAATTTCCATGTCTGAAGATGACTGAAAGTACAGTTGAAAGTACTTACGTATTAAAGAAAGACCTTATACAGCTTATAATTTTTTAAAACAAGGATCATAACATTCATCGAGTGATTGTTAGGTTAACGCACCTTCAAAATTTTGTTAGCGAAGGGATTTCACCATTTTATATCATTAACTTTACTAATTTACTTTTTGTATGAATGATTCATTGTAATATAAATTGAACTGCACCACATATTTGATGGCAACTGGTCTAGCAGAAGAACAACTCTGTATTCAAAACCTGCGGGGGATTGTTTGGACACCTTGTGACATGTAGAGCACTAGGTCTCTGTAATCGGCCCTTCAAAAAGTGAAGTTTGATCTGCACAAAACCTTCAATACTATAATCAAATCATATGTGTTGGTGTCTGGGCTTCCGAGGAACTGAGTTGCTTGACCTTCATATATCGAATACGACGGGGAGAGTCCCCGATATATATATATATATATATATATATATATATATATATATATATATATATATATGTGTGTGTGTGTGTGTGTGTGTGTGTGTGTGTGTGTGTGTGTGTGTGGGGGTGTAGATAGCATATTTTCATTCAAACACGTTTGGTTAAACAATTTAGACATATCGTGTCGATTTATTTGGGTTGCGATCCTTTCAAGTTCACGGATTCATTTTTTGGTAGCCTTAGAAAGTTGATTAAGACAAATACCAAAATATTCTTTCAAATAATTTCTATTTTACCCAGTAATTTAAATCTCGTCTAAGATCATCTTCAGGTGAATAAATTGTTTATGAATGTGTATATTTATTTCTGTAAATTCAAAACATTTCAGCTGTTCGTTTTACTGTGTTATGCAGCGTTCTAGATTTCAAATTCAAAATTCACCAGTTTTTTTTTTATCCCGCAGTATAAGGGAGCTAACTTTTCTATTTTATTCTCATATATATATATATATATATATATATATATATATATATATATATATATATATTTTTTTGTGCTTCAATTCTCTTTTATAAATGGCTTCTAGGATTTTAGTTTTGGATTATTATTATTATTATTATTATTATTATTATGTAATATAGACGTATTTTCAAATAATATCTGTCTAAACTATGAGTATGATCATGAGTGTTCCTTTAAATGATGTAACATTGAATTATACTCATGCAAATGAAACGTAAAACTTGTTGTTAGCATCATCGTAGTAAAACCAACATATGTATTAACATTTTTATCAGAGATACAATCTCCTAAACATATATATATATATATATATATATATATATATATATATATATATATATATATATATTGTCTATCACTGCGCTGTTCTTTTTTCTTTTCTTATTGTTTATTGGAAACTTTATGAATTTTGTTTCTTGGGTATTTCTGCTAATTACATTTAACCATGGCCAATTACTTTGCATAGGAAGTTATAGAGAGCCATAAAAATGACAACGTCGATAGTTTTCAAAAGTGGATAGCTTTACCACGTAAAATTCAGTCCGATAGCTTTATTTTTCTGCAACATTCTCGAGCTGAATTTCGGAATATAAATGTTTGCAGTCATATCCACTCTTAAACGTAAAAACATATAGATATATAAAACAAAATCGAAAGAGATGTGCAGAGAATACGTGTAATGTAATCAGTCGCGTATTGGTATCTGCTGCAAAAGGTTCACACATTGACGGTAATTCCCACACGCATGCGCTCTCGTGTTGTGTGCGTAAATGCATGAATGCAAAAAGCGATAGAATCCACAAAACTGTTTTCTAATCGGAGGAGAGCTTAGCGAATCAACGAAGTGAAATCAGCTTCGGCAACGAAGATGTCAGCTTTGGGTGTTCATTGATCGTTTCATTGGTGGAGGTGTACTTCGGTGGAATGAAGTCATACAACGGTCGACTTGTTCTTCTTGTAGTTGTTTTAATGCTTTCCAGGATTCATTGATAATAAATAATCTCCCAGAAGAAAAGAAAGCCTTACAAGTTGTTTCACAACTTTTTCAATGAATTTAAAAAAAAAAAAAGGGCAATGTAAATACAGAGATTACTATGAATTATATACAAATACATACAATGAGAGATATACGTCAGCATATATTAGAGAGAAGGGGAAGTTTTGCCATATTTCCGTGTCTATGTATACGAGGGGAGCTGATAAGTTCTCGGTCACTTTCTAAAATTGAATCAAATGACCAGCCATCAGAATATTTATTTTTAATTTCTGCTGTTCACTAATATCTTGTAATTCTGTCCGGGTGAGGAGGTTATTATATAATAAAATTAGAAAACTTATCACCCATTTTATGTCCAGTAGAAATTAACAGTACTACTACGATGGCGCACTGAAAATTCATGGTCTCCACCCACTACTAACAATTTAACCAAGAGACCAACACTTTCTTAGACAAGTCACTTTTTCAGTACACCCTAACATCTTGGAATTCTCATGGGTCGGGGATTTTTTATTTAAGAATAGAAAATCTATCGCTACTTTATGTCCAGTAGAATTTTATTTTGATACTACGATGAAGTGCTAAAAGTTTCCAAAGACTTTATGTATTTCGTTTTGTTCTCAGTAGCAAACAAAGTTCTTTTTGGAACTTTGAAAGAAGAACTGGGCCGCGTGTTTTCTTATTTCTGGAAGGATGCCATCGACACTTGCAGTTCTGCTACATTTTTGCTTCTAAGTTGCTTTCTTAAGGTCTTGTAGTGTTGGTGCTACTTCTAGTTTTAGTTTGGCCGGTAAGTGCAAGGGATGTTCGGTTTGGTTTCGTTTGGTTTAAGGTATATCAACCTCAGTGGATTATTTAATGCCGACAAGATTCTTATTGCTGGTAATATTTGTTTCCAAAAATATATTGCTGGCAATAATTTTTTCAAAAATTTATTGCTGGTAATAATCTTTTCATAGTGTTTTGACCCCAGTTTGAGGGTCAACTATTTGCCCATATCTGGGAACCTAACAGGTGCTAACACCCAGGCTCAGAGTGGTCCTGGGAACACCAACAATTAAGAAGAGGTTCCACGCTCCTCAAAACCCCCTGATCAGAGGCCTTGATTTCGGATGTAGTTTATCGTCTTACCCAGGACGCAGACGTAGTTTATTGTCTTACCCAGGACGCGGACGTTGTTTA